TTTCATAAAGTGCAATTTCAGCTTCAGGAACGCATAAATAGCGGAGTTTCTGCGTATCTTTTCTATTTTGCTTAACTTTGAAACCCCCTAATATTGATATAAAAAAGATAATTCAGCGGTTACAGCAATAAGCTACATTTTACGAGTAGAATAGTATGGCGGATATTAATGTTCATTTATAAACAATAGTTATTTTGCGTTATTATGAAGTTTTTTATAACACAAGTACGCATATATTCATATATACATTTGATTAGAGCAATCACTGTCGCGCACCCTAACATAACCATTAATCAGGATACAAACTTGTATGGCAACCAGATTGGAATCATGCTTTATCAACGGAATCCTCGCTTAAAATTGCTGACAAGTGATATACGTACAAACCATTGCACCCTTTAAAGCAATAACAATTCGATAACGTGTATAGCATGAATTAGGAAGCTAAGCCTCTGTTACACCCAAAATTGGGAGAGCAATATCTGTGTATAGCAGATTAGCTTTGGACGCAGCATAAATTATGCGGGTGAGTATTTTATTAGAGATGCTGTACGAACAAGCTATTACTTACAGGCAAGAATTCTATCTACAAGATTGTTATATTATCTGTAACCTCTCCCTTTTACTTGCTAGCGAAAGTTACTCTTTATACATCCGCCTACTATTATAAATGCAGTAAAAATGAAGTAATGCATCGATCAAGCAATAAAGCGAGAATGTCGTGAGGATAAGGTAATGAATGAAAGAATGTAGTAATGAGAAGAAATGAAAAGTATTGCTTAAGGGTGGATAATGAAGTAACAAATATCAACGAAAAATGTAGTAAACAGACTCTTCGATGTAGTCATAGAAATGTAACGGTTTTACTGCGGAGAAATGGGGTAATTTCTTTGTCGATCATAGTGTGAAAAATTTTTGCGTAACACCTCCTTTTCATAATCTAAGTCAATAACTGGATAAAGAACACAGGTTACACACAAACATAAAATTATTTGACAATTACTGTAGTATACGTATACAACTCTCGATATAAGAAACTTTCGATATAAGAAACTCTTGATATAAGAAAGATTTTACAAGTCCCAATTGTTTTATCTTTAATATAAGAAATCTTCGATATAGAAAGATTTTGGCCGGACCCTGTTATTTTTTTATACCAAGAGTCAGTTGTATTCATTTACTTTGCGTGCAAAATATTATATCGTTGATTTGGATATCAATATTTGACTGTTTTTGTGTAACCGTGACAAACTTTTGGAGGCAACTGTACGCACGTACGTACGTACGTACGTTTAATGCATTATCTAATCGGCTATGCAGATGTACACCATTAAAAATGTCATAGTAACCCATAAATATTAATGAAGTTTATGTTTAATTTCGGGGGACAGTTTACCGAGTTGATGACATTAACCAACAATTCTTTGAATGGCCTTATTTAAAAATTTCTTTAATATTTTCACAAATTTCTATTATTAAATATATTAAAAAACTATGTTATAATATTTTTTGTTACTAATATCGTTTTAGTGGCAAGTGGCTAGAGTTCATACCCGTAGGTGACTCGGGTCCAAGTACTATTCGTAACAATTAAAAAAAAAAGTTTATTAAATCAAGTATATAAATAATTAAATAAGAAATTTTCATATATTAAGATTACAAAGACTATATACTAAAAGCTATAAATAAATGAAGGATGTAAATCTCCTAAATGCGTAGCATCATCCATATTAGATCCTTTTAAAAATCTTTTAGGATTTTCAATCTTATATTTATTCAATCTATTTAAATAATAACATTGAATAATAGATAAAACTACGCCGAAAACTAAAAATGATAGCGTAACAGTATGACCAGTTATATAAGCTGGTGCATCGCTAGGTTTATATATTTGTGCGCTTACTACACCACCCAAGTTACCCCAGGCAATCACCATCGCACAGCCTACGGAACGTTTAGAGTCACCTGCCAGATTGTCTGCCATCCTTTTTTTTTTTTACATATTTTTTAATGCGTTTTTTTGATAATTTTTAGACAGATGTTAGTTAATATAATGCATAAATGTTTAAAATGACATATATTAATACATTAGAAACTTTACTATGCAAGAGTTACAGGGAGACATGCAAATACACCCAATCCGACAACACAAATACCGGTATATTTCACTAAAATACAAAATGTTATTATAACACAAATTTTTTTTCAGATTAAAGTTACAAATAAAACTTACAAGCAACATTAGCATTATGTGCAATGAGGAATGAGTACCCAATAATTGATACCAATAGACCAAAGATTAAATATGGGCTACGAATTCTGTGACGATCAGATAATTTTGCTACTATAAGAGATGAAATACACCCAAGAATATATGGAGGAGTGGAAAGAAGTTGAGAT